TAACAAATATGATAGGTTGTTGAATACGTAATGTCAGCACATATACGCACTGAAACAAAAGAGCATTTCAAGAACATATGTTTTGAATGGCGAAGTGGCTTGAATTTAAAAAGGATGATGATGAAATTTCCTCAGATCTTTGAATGCCAATTTTTCCCTTTAGAAAATATGCCCTCCCTGAGAATTTAATTTATTTTACACAAGAAATATGCTCAGCCTATTAAATTAATTATTTTTTATCCTCAACATAGTAACACTTTTTTACTTTAAATAAAAACCATTTTAGACCCAAGGATATTTTGACAAATAAAATATTCTTATTTCGAAGGATAAATAATTTCCAATAAAGATAATTTCCTAAAGAGGCTCGCGGTTATTCTGTTCTGAAAATACAAGTTCTAAATAATATTATAAAAATAAGAAAAGGGAATTTTCATTATTATGGAGTATAAGTAACGACAACACTTATACGCAATGTGGCACCTAAGTAATGTGATAGGTTGTAGAATACGTAAAGACAACACGTATACGCACTGAGATAGGCGTGGATTTTTTATGGAATATTTGTCTAAGTACCATTAAAGCCTGGATATTTAAAAAAAATATTTCTTCCAAGGACCTTGAAACGTAGGTATGTATAAATATTTCTTCCAAGATCGTTGGAGCGTGGATATATAAAAAAATATTTCTTGCAAGGACCTTGAAGTGTTTCTTTCAGAGATCAAAAAATTTAGATATTTCAACCTATTTTTTCCAGAGATCTAAAAACGTAGATATTTGTATTCCCAGTATCCATGTTTATAAATTATATATCGAAAAATGTTAAGTGACGAAATCAACGTTACGTAGGCGTATAAGTAGCGACAAAACGTATACGCATTGAAGCACATAACAAGTACGCAAATAGTCGAATTCGTAACAACAACACCTATACGCACTAAGAAGAATATTATTTTTTTCATGTACCAAGAAGAATGGATTTGAGTATAAATATTTTTTCAAAGGATCAAGAAAATGGGATTTTTAGACTGCTATTTTTCAAAGAACCAAGGAGCGGAGATTAAAAAAATAATATATTATTTAGCTCCACAGAATTTTTAAGGAAAAATTTTCCAAGGTCAGGAAGCTTGGGTTCTGTTATAGAATATTTTTTTTTTCCAAGAACAAAGTGGTGCATAGATTTTTAAAGACATTTTTTCAATAAAACGACAATTTTTTAAGTTTAAAGCTAGTTTGAAAAAATATTCTTTTTAAAATCCACGCCTTGTGGGTCATTAGAAAAAATATTCTTTTGAATATCTGCGCCTTGTGGGTCATTGAAAAAATATTCCTTTAAAAATCCACGCCATGTGGGCATTAAAAAAAAATATATTTGAAGAATTTACGCCTTGTGGGCATTAAAAAAAAATCTTTTAAGAATCTACACCTTGTGGGCATTAAAAAATATTTTAAGAATCTACGCCTTGTGGGTCATTGAAAAAATATTCTTTTAAAAATCTACGCCTTGTGGGTCATTGAAAAAATATTCTTTTAAAAATCTACGCCTTGTGGGTCATTGAAAAAATATTCTTTTAAAAATCTACGCCTTGTGGGCCATTAGAAAAATATTCTTTTAAAAATCTATGCCTTGTGGATGATTGAAAAAAATATTCTTTTGATAATCCACGCCTTATGGGTCATTGAAAAAATATTCTTGTAAAAATCTACGCCTTGTGGATGATTGAAAAAATATTCTTTTAAAAATCTACGCCTTGTGGGTTTCTTTAAAAAATATTTTAAAAATCTACGCCTTGTGGGTTTCTTTAAAAAATATTTTAAAAATCCACGCCTTGTGGGTTTCTTTAAAAAATATTATCCTAGAAAAAATTTATCCTAGAAAAATTTAGAAAAATATTATCCTAAAAATCTACGCCTTGGTAACCATTAGAAAAATATTCTTTTAAAAATCTACGTCTTATGGGCCATTGAAAAAATATTCTTTTAAAAATCTACGCCTTATGGGTCATTGAAAAAATATTCTTTTAAAAATCTACGCCTTGTGGGTCATTAGAAAAATATTATTTAAAAAATCTACGCCTTGTGGGTCATTACAAAAATGCATTTTAAAAAATTTACATCTTGCTGGATTAAATTTCATAAATATTTATACAAAATATATGCAAAGTTAATGATTTCACTTCGAGTGTATCTCATTGCGTATAAGTGTTGCCATTACGTATACGACAACCTTTCTCATTTGTCCATTGCCTTATAGCATATAAATGTTGTCATTACTTATACGCCTACATACCTCTGAATTCTTATTTTCATGTTTTTCTTATTTTAGTACGAAACAAGTGAAAAAGCGGTAAGTTCGGCCGGGCCGAACTTTGGATACCCTCCACCATAGTTATATTGACAAGTACTATAAATGAAAATATAGGAAACATACCAAAAAGTGGACCTATACCGACATTTCTAAAAACGGATTATGTAAACCATAATAAAAAATTTTCGCAATTTTTAAAGGATAATATTGGTACTAGACCCCATGTTTCTTTGGACCAAATCCGTTTCAGAAAATTTAGATTTCATCCGAACTTTGTCCATTTTATTATTTCTTCCAAGCTTAGTTCAAATTCGAAGATGGGGAATATCGGTCCACTCCTTCTGGAACCTCCAATCAGGGGCTAGGTCTAAATGCGGCTATAGTTCACTACCGAACCTTACGTTCTAATTTTTTATCTCTCTATCCTCCGCAGTTGAAATGATTACAAAAGGGTCTTAGAACCAAACCCAAAACGCGCAACAAATCAGATAACTATTTTAATAAAAAAAGGGGGTTATGTGGGGACTACCCTAAAAATATACGACTACAAAATAACAAATTGCAGCAAATTCAGTTGAAAAACGCGCTCAAGACCCCAAAATACCGAAAATTGGGGGTATCCTTATATGGGGGCTATCCGAAAAAACGGACCTATATTCATAATATTTTGTGGAGAGAACTACAAAGAACTATTAAGAACTCAATGTACCAAATTTCAGCGTATTCGGTAGAAAAACGCGCTCAAGAACCCCAAAATACCGAAAATTGGGGGTACCCGTATATGGGGGATATCCGAAAAAATGGACCTATGTTTATAATTTTTTGTGGAGAGATTTTGTGCCTATTAAGAACCCAATGTATTAAATTTCAGCGTATTAGGTTGAAAAACGCGCTCAAGAACCCCAAAATACCGAAAATTGGGGGTACCCTTATATGGGGGCTATCCGAAAAAATGTACCTATATACATAATTTTTTGTAGAGAGATTTGGTACCTATTAAGAACTCAAAATACTAAATTACAGCCAATTCGGTGGAAAAATACGATCAAAACCCCCAAAATACTGAAAAGTAGGAGGTGCCGTTATATGGGGGCTACCAGAAAAAGTGGACCTATATTTATAATTTGTGGAGACATTTAGTACCCAATAAGAACTCAATGTACCAATTTTCAGCGTATTCGGTTGAAAAACGAGAGCAAGAACCCCAAAATACCGAAAATTGGGAGGTACTGTTATATGGGAGCTATACCTAAGCGTGGACCGATATATCCCATCTTCGAACTTGACCTGCCTGCAGACAAAAGACAACCCTATGCAAAATTTCAGCACCCTATCTCAATTCCTTCAGAAGATAGCGTGATTACAACAGACGGACGGACGGACATGGCTAGATCGTCTTAGAATTTTACCCTGATCAAGAATATATATACTTTGTGGGGTCAGAAATGAATATTTCGATGAGTTACAAACGGAATGACAAAATTAATATACCCTCCATACTATGGTGGAGGGTATAAAAATGGAATAAAATTCGTTGAATCCTTGATTAGAATTTTTCCACGAAACAGGTGAATAATTTAAAAATTTATTTGCCTTATTTATTTTTTTAACATCAGTAGATATTTGTTTTTCTGTTTTCTTTATTTTGCTATGGTAAAATTAATATGGACAAATAAAATATATTATTTTATTGGAATGTCAGCAGTCATTGTTATTAAAATAAATATTAACTAAAAAAGAAAAAAAAATCGCAAGAATCTCAATGATGATGATTTGGTCAAAATAACACTTCTTCCAGTTCGGAAATTTCTTATTTTCTTTTGTTTTCTTCCACCAAAATTTTGATGAGTTAAAGTCTTAAGAAACTCATGGACTTTGATGACGACAATAAATATATAGTGCCGCCGACCGGCAAGTGCTGCTGGTATTCTTCAGAACAGAACATTTTTCTTTTTGAGATTTTTTCATCCAAACCAAAATCTCATCATCATCATCAGCCTCTCATGTCGAAGAGAAATGCCGGACAATAACGTCACTCACTTATATGTTCGGTAGATGGATGTATGGATATATATTGACGACACACAACAAGAGCATCCACACACATGACGAACAACAACAACAACCATGTGAGTCTCCATGGGTCGTCATCATTTTCATAATTATCAGGAAAAACAAAAAATCAACATCATTATGACGAACCAACACATCATCATTAGCGTTTTTGTTGTTGCTGTTCTTCTTCTGATGGCTGGCTGCTGGTGAGCAAAAAAGTCAGCAGCCAAAAATTTGGCGAGTGGCGACTTTGTTTCAGTTTGATTTTTATTTAAGAACGATACGGACCAAAACGCGTCGAAAGTAGAATAGAAAAAAAACACACTAAAGTCGCCGTTTAGAAAAAAATCGACACATTTTCGGATAACACTTAGCGGTTGATAAAAAGTGAAAGAATTTCGACATTCAGATTTTTTTGGAATATTTTGCAATAGTTTTTAACAAAAATAAAATTGAAAAAAAAAAATAGAAAGAAAGGAAATAAATCTGTGATTATGAAAAATAATAGAATATAAAAGTAATAGAAAAAAATATTGAAATTAAATTTAAATAACAAAGTGGCAGCATTTAAAGAAAAAATTAAAATCCAACAATAAACCACCTCTCCTACCATTGAAAAAATAGAAAAAGTCTCATAATGTCCCAAGCAACACCGACACCGCCCCCACCACCCTCAAGATTTCCAAATCGACCGCCACGTATTATTATACGCAATCCACACAATGGTTCCGCAATGGGTTCAATGCCGCCAACAGCTCAAACAGGTACCTATGGTACAGGTTCAGTGGCTGGTGCACCCTATTGGCCACCCTATGCCAATCCATTTGCAGCGGGCAATTTTATGGCCAAGGGTTTTGAAGGTTTCGTCGATTTCACCAAATCGGGCATGAGTTTTGGTGAAAAATTCACCTTTAGCATGTACAATAAACTAAGTAAATGGTCGAAGAAATGGTTTACACATATATTCCTGTTGACGGTGGTCGCTCTCTACACGGTGGGTGGTGCATTGCTCTTCAAGGCTATTGAAAGTAAGTTTGAAAATTTGGATAACGAAATTTTTTTGAAAATAAAAATATGGGATGTTTAAAAAATAATCAGATATTTTAAAGCGATTCCATAACCAGTTATGAAAATGATAAAAATCTAAAAAACATTATTTGAAGAAAATTCTTCAAAAGAATCTGCGAATCGATTGGAGCTTGAAAAAATATTCCTTAAAAACTTTTCGTTTAAGGATGGTCCTTACAAAAATATTGCAATGAAAAATCATCGCTAAGAGAGATTAAAACTTAATTTTAAATTTTTAAAAATGTCTCGTCCGGACCTTAAAAAAGTGTACGTTTTTTTTGGTACCTTAAGTAAATCTACGCTTGAAATACACGACCCTCAGTGCGTATAAGTGTTGACGTTACGCATACGACAACCTTTCAATTTTGTTATAGGCGTATAAGTGTAGTCGTCACTTATACGCCTATATACCATAAATTTCCTTCATTTTTTAGATGTTCCTTGAAAAAAATTCTTCAACAAAAATCACGACTTGGTAGGCTTGAAAAAATATTCTTTAATAAAAACCACGATTTGGTGGACCTGAAAAAAATATTCTTAAGTGGACCTGACAAAATATTCGTTCAAAAATCCACGCTTTGCTGGTCATACAAAACATATGCCACGACTTGGTGGACCTGAAAAAATATTCTTCAATAAAAACCACGACTTAGTGGACCTGAAAAAATATTCGTTCCAAAACCCACGCTTTGCTGGTCATACAAAACATATGCCACGACTTGGTGGACCTGAAAAAATATTCTTCAATAAAAACCACGACTTAGTGGACCTGAAAAAATATTCGTTCCAAAACCCACGCTTTGCTGGTCATACAAAACATATACCACGACTTGGTGGACCTGAAAAAATATTCTTTAATAAAAACCACGACTTAGTGGACCTGAAAAAATATTCGTTCAAAAATCCTTGCTTTGCTGGTCCTTCAAAACATATACCTACGAAAATCCACGTTTGAGAAATATGTGTCTCAGTGCGTATAAGTGTAGACGTAACGTATACGACAACGTATCCATTTTCTTCGGTGTCTCGGGGCTTTTACATTTTGTCGTCATTTATACGCCTATACATCGTTAGATTTCCTAGTTGAAGTTTGGTCATAGAAAATATTAGATGGTGCCATAAAACTATATCCCTTTTAATAATTCAGCATTTTATGAAAACTGAGGATATATTCAATCATGATCCGTCATGATGTCAGAGCATTTGTGTAATTCACTCCTTCATGGTTTGTTAATAAATATTCATGTGATAATATTCAGACCGTTGTTCCTGAGAAATATTCTTCACAACATCCATACTTGAAAAACAGGAGACTCAGGCGTATAAGTGCTGACGGTACGTATACGATAACGTGTTCATTTTGTTCAGTGTCTCAAAGCGGATGCGGTTTGTCGTCACTTATACGCCTACATACCGCTACTTTCCTTAGTTTAATATTTGTCATTGAAAAATATATTCGCTTTGAAAATCCACTACTGAATGGTAGCATAGAATTAAAAGCCCTCACTTTTAAAAATCCACGCCTTGTGGTTCATTCAAAAAAATACTCTTTTAAAAATCCACGCCTTGTGGTTCATTGAAAAAATAATCTTTTAAAAATCCACGCCTTGTGGGTCATTGAAAAATATTCTTTTCGAAATCTACGCTTTGTGGGCCATTGAAGAAAAAGATTCTTTAAAAATCCACACTTTGTGGGTCATTGCAAAAATTTCTTTTTAACCAGTAAGGAAAGTAGTAAAGTCGGACGGGGCCGACTATATGATACCCTTCACCACTTTGAGTATATTCAACAGATGAATCCTAACAGAAGTCGCATTTTTAAAGGACCAGTAAAATGAAATTGGAACCATAAACACGTCATTCTGCAACCGATACTAAATTCTTCATTTGGTCAGATATAGAAGCTATATCTAAATCTGAACCGATTTCAGGAAACTTAACACACATCATTCTAGACCTAATTTGTTACGCTGTGCCAAATTTCGTGCAAATCGAAAGATATATAGGGACTTTGGTGCACCATTTACATTAAATCTGACGAAAGTATATGTGGGAGCTATATATAAATCTGAACCGATTTTCAGGCAACTTTACACACATCATTCTAGACCTAATTTGCTACGCGGTGCCAAATTTCGTGCTTAAATCGACTCAAAAAGTGATTCTATGCATATTCTCAAAAGGAGCCATGGGTCTATCTCGATTATTTTTGCATGTTACAAACATATGCACAAAAACATAATACCCTGTACCAGAAAAAAGAATTTGGTTCAATAACCTCAAAACCTGGGGGCTACCAGAAAAAATTGACCAATATTTATAATTTATAGTGGAGAGATGTGCTACCTAATAAGAACTCGACGTACTAAATTACAGTCAATTTGGTCGAAAAATCCGATCAGAACCCCCAAAATACCAAAAATTTTGGGGTACCGTTATATGGGTACTACCAGAAAAACTGGACCTATATTTATAATTTTTAGTGGAGTAATTTGGTACCCAATAAGAACCCAATGTACAAAATTTCAGCGAATTCAGTTATAAAACGAGCCCAAAAACCCGAAAATACCGAAACTTGGGGGTACCCTTATATGGGGGCTTTCCGAAAAAATGGACCTTTATTTATAATGTTTGGTAGGGAGATTTGCTACCCAATAAGAACACAAAGTACCAAATTTCAGTGAATTCGGTCGAAAAATGCGATCAAAACCCCCAAAATACCGAAAATTGGGGGTAATCTTATATGGGGGCTATCCGAAAAAATGGACCTTTATTTATAATTTTTGGTAGGGAGATTTGCTACCCAATAAGAACTCAATGTACAAAATTTCAGGGAATTCAGTTACAAAACGCGCTCAAGAACCTCAAAATACCGAAAATTTGGGGGTACCCTTATATGGGGGCTATGCGAAAAAATGGACCGTTATTTATAATTTTTGGTAGGGAGATTTGCTACCTAATAAGAACACAAAGTACCAAATTTCAGCGAATTCGGTCGGAAAATGCGATCAAAACCCCCAAAATACCGAAAATTGGGGGTAATCTTATATGGGGGCTATCCGAAAAAATGGACCTTTATTTATAATTTTTGATAGGGAGATTTGCTACCCAATAAGAACTCAAAGTACCAAATTTCAGCGAATTCAGTTAAAAAACGCGCTCAAGAACCTCAAAATACCGAAAATTTTGGGGTACCCTTATATGGGAGCTATGCCTAAACGTGGACCGATTTTTTCCAATTTCAATAGGGTTCGTCCTTGGGCCAATTAAGTGACCTGTGCCAAATTTCATCCAAATCGGATCATAAATGCGACCTGTACTTTGTTAACAAAAATACATGGACGGACGGACGGACGGACGGACGGACAGACGGACAGACGGACATGCATAAATCGACTCAGAAAGTGATTCTATGCATATTCTCAAAAGGAACCATGGGTCTATCTCGATTATTTTTGCCTGTTACAAACATATGCACAAAGACATAATACCCTGTACCACAGTGTGGTGAAGGGTATAAAAATCCACGACTTGTGGGTCATTGAAAAAATGTTCTTTTAAAAATCGACGCCTTGTGGGTCATTGAAAAAATGTTCTTTTAAAAATCAACGCTTTGTGGGTCATAAAAAAATTCTTTTGAAAATCCACGCCTTGTGGGTCATTGAAAAAATATTCTTCTAAAAAGCCACGACTTATGGGTCATTGAAAAAATATTCTTTTAAAAATTCTGATGGGCCTTCAACAATATTCTGTAGTGTATTCAGATCTCTCAAAAAATTTTCTTAGTGCGTATGTGTGTTGTCGTCACTTATACGTCTCGAGATTTTTTTGCATCCTTCACCTTAAGGTGGAGTTTTAATTAGACTTTTTTGAAGAAATGTAATTTATAAAAATATATTTTTTAATTTTTTTTTGAGGCCAACAGAGGTTTGACTTTAAAATAACAATGTTTTTTCCAAAGACTTTAAAAGTTGACTTAGTTGTGGATTTTGAAAAAGTGGATATAAATGTAAAAATCAATATCAGATTACCATCGGATTATTAAATAGTTTTCCCAGGAATCTAAAGGTGTGAATTAAAAAAAAATATTTTTTTAATTATTTCATTAATAAGTATATTTTTTCCAAGAACTACCACTTGTGAATCCCCAAGGTCCTTGGTCCTTTTAAAAACAACATTTTTTAAACAATTCCGAGATTAGTCGATTTTTTATAAAAATATAATTTTATTTTCATCACATCATCTAAATCATACAAATAAATCATCATGAAATCCAGTAAGGAAATTAATAAAGTCGGACTGGGCCGACTATATGATAGCCTTCACAACTTTGGTTATATTGTACATATGTATCCTTACAATTGCATGTCAATGTTCCCTCGAAGGAACATACTCATGTCTTTCCGGAACTTATGATAAATTTAATTTCATTCGAGCATTCTGCGTACCATGAGAAAAATTTATGGAAAATGATTTTTAGCAAAATTAGCAAAATTGGTGCACAATTTACCTAAAATCGGACGAAAATATATATGAGAGCTATATCTAAATCTGAACCGATTTTCGCGAAATATCACACACATCACTCTACACTTTATTCAGTACGCTATGCTAACTTTTTGGACAAATCGAAGGATATATAAGGACTTTGGTCCACCATTTACATAAAATCGGACGATAATATATGTGGGAGCTATATCTAAAACTGAACCGATCTTCTCGAAACTCACCACTCATCATTCTAGACTCAATTCAGAACGCTTTGCCAAATTTCGTGCAAATCGAAGGATATAAAGGAACTTTGGTGCACTATTTACCTAAAATCGGACGAAAATGTATATGGGAGCTATATCTAAATCTGAACCGATTTTCACGAAACTTAGAACACATCATTCTAGGCCTAGTTCAGTACGCTGTGCCAAATTCCGTGCAAATCGAAAGATATATAGGGACTTTGGAG